CTCTGTTCTTGTTGCTGTGGCACACTTACTGCCCATTGGCTACTGGTTGCTATGCTCTCTCTCTATGGTTCTGGGAAGGGCTGGGCAATAAATAGAAAATTTATCGTTGTCGAAATTTCTGTGAGGGAAAGCTGGAGCATGAGATCGATAGGCGGATTGGTGCTGCATCTGCGTTGCACCGGTCTGTCGTGGTGAAGAGAGCTGAGTCAGAAGGCGAAGCTCTCGATTTACCGGTCGATCTACGTTCCTACCCTCACCTATGGTCACGAGCTTTGGGTAGTGACCGAAAGAACGAGATCGCGGATTCAAGCGGCCCAAATGAGTTTTCTCCGCAGAGTGGATGGGCTCTCCCTTAGAGATAGGGTGAAAAGCTTGGTCATCCAGGAGGGGCTCAGAGTAGACCCGCTGCTCCTCCACATCGAGAGGAGCCAGTTGAGGTGGCTCGGGCATCTGATTAGGATGCTTCCTGGACACCTCCCTGGTGAGGTTTTCTGGCTCATTCAACTGGGAGGAGACCTAAAGAAAGACCCAGAACACACTGGAGGGACTCTGTCTCTCACCTAGCATGGGAACGACTTGGGATTCCCCCGGAAAAGCCGGCCCAAGTGGCTGGTGAGAGGGAAGTCTGGGCCTCGTTCATGCAAATGAATTACTGCCCCAAATACTGAGGTTATATTCATTATTATACTTATCTGAGGTCCAATATTTCTCTATTCCAAATCCTTGTTTTCTTCATTTATTGTAATTTTATATTATTGTTATATTTCGACTTTGAATGTAAAAAGTATCTAACATAAATTAGTTTCACCTCTTTGGTTGAATTACTGAAATCTGTGAACTTTCACCTGTATAATTGTTATCAAAAATCTTATTTTAAATCAAATGCTATTTTTCCAGTTATTAGGAGAAATTATAGTATATATTAATACATTTCCATAAAAAACATGGGATTAGGTGCTCGCCTCCATTTTCTTTTCAACACTATAGGATTATGTAATAAATATATTGAGTAACCCAGAAATAATATTAAGTTTCTGACAATGTAACTTTGTTGGTCAGAGCTTATCGTAATTTATTTCTTTGCTTTGTGTTTCAGGGTTATTTGTTCCTCAATTGCTGCAACCGTCTACTTCAGTGGCTCTTATTCCCCCCGTCGTTCACGCAGCACCAGAGCAAGAATTTGTGCTTCATCTGACAGCTGTTGACCCTCTTCCTTCATCCTCTCACCCTCAGCCTGCAACAAACACTCTTCCATCATCCTCTCACCCTCAGCCTGCACCACACACTCTTCCTTCATCCTCTCACCCTCAGCCTGCAACAAACACTCTTCCATCATCCTCTCACCCTCAGTCAGTACCACACACTCTTCCTTCATCCTCTCACCCTCAGCCTGCAACAAACACTCTTCCTTCATCCTCTCACCCTCAGCCTGCAACAAACACTCTTCCTTCATCCTCTCACTCTCTGTCTGCAACAAACACTCTTCCATCATCCTCTCACCCTCAGTCTGCACCAAACACTCTTCCATCATCCTCTCACTCTCAGTCTGCACCAAACACTCTTCCTTGAACCTCTCACCCTCAGCCTGCAACAAACACTCTTCCATCATCCTCTCACCCTCAGTCTGCACCACACACTCTTCCTTCATCCTCTCACCCTCAGCCTGCAACAAACACTCTTCCATCATCCTCTCACCCTCAGCCTGCACCACACACTCTTCCTTCATCCTCTCACCCTCAGCCTGCAACAAACACTCTTCCATCATCCTCTCACCCTCAGTCAGTACCACACACTCTTCCTTCATCCTCTCACCCTCAGCCTGCAACAAACACTCTTCCTTCATCCTCTCACCCTCAGCCTGCAACAAACACTCTTCCTTCATCCTCTCACTCTCTGTCTGCAACAAACACTCTTCCATCATCCTCTCACCCTCAGTCTGCACCAAACACTCTTCCATCATCCCCTCACTCTCAGTCTGCACCAAACACTCTTCCATCATCCTCTCACTCTCAGTCTGCACCAAACACTCTTCCTTCATCCTCTCACCCTCAGCCTGCAACAAACACTCTTCCATCATCCTCTCACCCTCAGTCTGCACCACACACTCTTCCTTCATCCTCTCACCCTCAGTCTGCACCACACACTCTTCCTTCATCCTCTCACCCTCAGTCTGCACCACACAGTCTTCCTTCATCCTCTCACCCTCAGTCTGCACCACACAGTCTTCCTTCATCGTCTCACCCTCAGTCTGCACCACACAGTCTTCCTTCATCCTCTCACCCTCAGCCTGCAACAAACACTCTTCCTTCATCCTCTCACACTCAGCCTGCACCAAACACTTTTCCTTTATCCTCTCACCCCCAGCCTTCACCAAACACTTTTCCTTCACCCTGTCACCCCAGCCTGCACCAAACACTTTTCCTTCATCCTCTCACCCCCAACCTGCACCAAACACTCAGCCTTTATCAACTATGCCTGTACTATCTTTGTGTCACCCTTCCTCATCAACCCTCTCTTGTTCTGGTTCTGATCTGTGTTCCTCCTCCTCTTTTGTACTTTCTGCTCCAACTCCAGTTTGCACCCCTAATCCTGGTGGCTCTTCAAGAAAAAATAAAAGACCTCGAATGAAAGGTAAGATGTTTCCCTGTTTGACTTTGTTAAAACGGTTGCAGCTTTCAATTTTCTTTTTTTTTTCTTTTTTTTTTTTTTAGAGTGCCGAAAACACAGGAGACAAACGGTGTTCTTGTATGAAGAGGTGGTGGACAAGAGAGTTATCAATGTAAGTTAAAAAGTAAACATTGTATTTACAGTCTTTTGCATTTTTCTTTCTAAGATATGAAGTGTCGAGCGTGCATTTCCAAATTACAGTTAAAAAGTAACCACAAAGTGTTGGTTGAACAACAAGTATAGAAAACACTTAAGACATAAGATGAAAAGGTAAGTCAATACGATGAAAAAATACAGCAAAGATGTCCAGAGCAACATTTTGACCAGACATTCAAAGGCACAATCCCAAATACTATGGGCCTTAGAAAACTAACACTTTGGAGAAGGGGCAATTTTTTGTACAGCTGACATACAGCACAGGCTGAAAGTTTGGACACACTGAATTGGTTGTCTTTATTTTCATGACCATTTACATTGGGAGATTCTCACTGAAGGCATCAAAACTATGAATGAACACATGTGGAGTTATGTACTTAACCAAAAAAGGTGAATTAACTGATTTTTTTTTTAATATTCTATTTGCTCCAAAATAGCCACCCTTTGCTCTGATTACTGATTTGCACACTCTTGGCATTCTCTTGATGAGCTTCAAGAGGTAGTCACCTGAAATGGTTTTCCAACAGTCTTGAAGGAGTTCCTAGAGGTGTTTAGCACTTGTTGCCCCCTTTGTAAATGCTCATGGTCATGAAGATAAAGAAAACACATTGAATGAGAAGGTGTGTCCAACCTTTTGGTCTGTACTGTACACAAACAACCATTCACTCTCACATTCAATAACTAGGGGCAACCTACACAGGCAAATCTTCCTAAATAAATCTGCTTGACTAACCACTGGCACAGTGGTCTAATTTCTGAAATATTTTCCAAGTTTTACAATATATTATGCAGTGACTGTATTACTATATTATTTCTACAAAATGCTACATCAGTAGTGGTGTAAATATTGATGATGCAACTGGGGGAACTGGAACAGGGCTCAGATGCCGTTGCGGCCCACTGACATCGCTCACATAACAGGCATTAAGCAGTGTGACAAAGTGAGAGCATTGATACAAAACTCATGTCCTTTTTAATGGAGTATATTCTATTATTGCAGCAGTAATGAACAAAATGGGGCTAACAGCCTAGACGTAGGCCTAACATTAGCATAAATTTAGGTTTCTAAACTGGAGTCAGTCAATGCCTATGTGCTTGTCTCTCAGCAATGTGACACAGGGGCATCTCCCAAGAAAAACAACTGCACACAGACACATTAGGGAGCCAGTCGCGCAGATGACACCACAGATGTGCAGCTTTTCTCAAGTTTGATTCCTTTGACAATTTTCCTTGATACAAAGATAAAGTGCACCCTTTACCGGCTTCAATGATCAGTAAAAACTAGTCTCGTCTCTCTTTTTTTCAGTATACTAGTGTAGACTGGTCTATTTTATTACTTACGCCAAGATGGTAATGTGATTGTGCTTGCTTGCAACAAATTACTGATTAGATGTTGGGATCAATGGTATTAGGAATGACTGAACATCCTCTTACATCAGTTGAAAAACAGACACTTGTCCTAAAATACTTGCATATGAGCGGAAAAATCCAAAACTAATGAATGTCTTTATATTTTTTTTACAGAAGTCCTTATTAACTTTGTGAAACGCACTGGGGTTGATGTATGAGCTCCACTGAGTAATTGTTATTCCCAAATAACTGTGTTTCAGGGAAAAAATGAAGTCAAAATCAGATGGGCACCATGCACTACATGGTAAATTCAGTAGAAGCAATGTCTGGATATATTTAAAATTGTTGAAATCAAACATAATTTCAACCTTTTTTTTCTTTTTCCTCCTAGTGGCAAACAGTGGGATGATACCTGGGAGCCAGCTGAACAGTATATGAGTGTATTGTGAGCAGAGGTGGACAGTATTCTGTTTTTCTACAAATGTTTGTAAAACTTAAAAAAAGTGAATGTGTATGATGTGTGAGCCTTGTTATTTTTATAAGGTGGAATGTAATTCAAGCATATTAAAAATTTTCATTCAAATAATGTCATTTTGGACAGTATGGTGGTTAATTTGGGTTTTATACACTAAGATTTATTGACGTTTAAATATATTAATATATGTGTGTGTGTGTATCTACATATATATATATATATAAATATATACGTGTGTATATATATATATATATATATATATATATATATATATATATATATATATAATATATATATATATATATAAAATATATATTATATATACACAGCTGTCTGTAAGCATTTATAATGCATTTACAAAATACAAAGGTCTTTACACACATACACAGACAAAAAACAGGGTTGCTTTTGGGACTAATGTACAAGGCAGGTGAGAATGTTTTTTTTTCAGGTCTTCAGATGTGGATATGAATCTAACCTGTGATTTGCATTCAGCTACTGATGGTCCATTACACCCTTCAAACAATACAGCAGAAACTGGTTAGGAAACAAAAAATGCAGTTTCTCATCAATTCTAACTCAGCATCAACTAAAACATAATGTATCCACAACACAGGCATCATCTCAACTACACGATTCATATTGTTAACCTGTTATAAGAACAAAACTCCTTCATGCTGTGCATGTGGTAACTTTGAGTTTGAGCTTTAGCTTAGAGTAGGTACTATCCAGTGGGGTGTGAAAGTTTTGGCAGCATAATTAATCATCTTGAGTTATCTTTATAAATCTATGGTTGTTATGAAAAAAAATTACATTGGTTATATATATCATATAGGAGGCAGTCATATTTAAGATATTAAGTGAGGTTTATAGGATTAACAGAAAGCATGCAGTAACTTTTTTAACTAAATTAGGCAGCTACAGTAATGTTGGCACTGTTGTCATTTTGTATATTACAGAATCTTTAGAAATAATTAGTGAAGTTCAGCATTGGTTTGGTAAGTTCAGTGACCCTTGACCTCCATACACAAGTGAATCTAGTTATGAGAGAGTATTTAAGGGGCCAATTGTAAGTTTCCCTCCTCTGAATATTGTCTGAAGAGCAGCAACATGGGGTTTCTAAACAACTCTCTCATGACCTGAAAACAGATTGTTCACCATCATGGTTTAGGGGAAGGATACAGAAAGCTGTCTCAGAGATTCCAGCTGTTTCTTTCTACAGTCAAGAACATATTGAGGAAATGGAAGACCACAGGCACAGTTAAAGTGACAGACCAAGAAAAATCTCAGATAAACAGAAGAGAAGAAGGGTGAGAACAGTCAGAGTCAACCCACAGAACAGCACCAAAGACCTACAACATCATCTTGCTGCAGATGGAGTTTGCATCGTTCAACTCTTTGGTACAGTTTACACAAGGAGATGCTGTATGTGAGAGTGATGCAGAGGAAGCCTTTTGTCCACCCACAGCACAAATGGCTGCATCGGGTATGCTTAAGCACATTTGGACAATTCAGCTCTGTACTGATGGAACAAATATTGAGGTATTTGGGCATGACAAGGGGCGTTATACATGGAAGAAAAAAAATCTTAGCATTACACGAAAAACACATGATACCTCCAGTAAAATATGATCATTTGATTCTCAATAGAAACATAATCAAGACTGCTAATCCCTCCACAAAACAGTGACATCTCTTTCTGTTTCCCATGGAAAATTTATTTGGAGCTTTTCATCTAGCCTATAGGGTGCATTGTTTGAGGTAAGTCACATAATATGGTTAGATATGTCTATCAAGGTTTACATGACATAACAAGCTCACACAGAGTTCCACTCAAACACATTTCAGATCTGTAGCCCTCTGCCCAGCTGAACAATGGCCAAAAATGAAACACTTGACCTACAATGATAAGGACCGTAGCTTCAGCTCTGGGTAAATTACAGACATTGGACCACCATCTCAGGACAGTCCTTCCAGAGCACTAATATATATGTATGAATGACATATGTTAAAATGCCAAAAAAAATACTTCAGCAAGCAGATGTCTGAAAATCAAACAAAGTCGAGGGAATCCAATTTTTTGTCCTGAAAATGTGAACTTCTGAACTGCTAAGCGTACAGGTTTGCTTGAGGGCTCTGTGGAAAGGTCTCGCTGAGCGGAGCACTACAGTCTAAATATTGTCTCTACGATTTTACATTGTATGGCTGGAGTGCGCTAAAAACCTTTTTTTGCAACTTGTTCAGCCCCATAACTCTGCCCCTGAAAGGCGTGCAGGGATGATACATCAATAGAAAGCTGTCACTAAGATGTATAATATATGTGAGCCTCCTGTAGGTAGTGTTCTTACTTAGCTATGAACTCAATTTTCTTTTCTTTTTTTTCAGTTGCTAGAAAAAAAATCCAAAAGTGCCCAAAATAGGCAGATACAATTGTGTGTCAGCACTGTGCTGTAGGGTAGGAGTTAGTTTTGATGACAGTATCAAGTGGCCTATCTAGCTTGAGCGAGTTGTTGTTTTCCAGGTGCACATTGGTATACATAATTTCAGTTGTTAATGTGATTGGCTAAAGACAATTTACTAGCCCAATCAGTGTATTAGTCATTTTTTTGTTCTGTGGGAGGAAGCCAGAGCACCTGGAGGGAACCCACACTTGCATTGAGAGCCAAATTTTACTGTTCCAAATTTTGTCCTTGATTTGTTTTTGCCCATTTTGTTTGACTGTGGAATCCCCTCAGATATTCTGAAAGCTCTACAGGGTTCTTCAGGGAGTATATTTTATAGTTAAATGTTTCTTTTGGCAGAGTGCATTTTCCCTCAGCCATCTTCCAAACTAGGGACTTTTCCATCCACATGAATCTAAAAGCAGTTTTTAAAGTCATATAAAGGTGTGGCAAAGATGTTTAGTTTACAGTGTTTGGTAATTAAACTGGGGGCTTTGCCACTCCAACATTTAGTAGCTCACACAATCAAAATGCATTTGCCATAATCTTTTCTAAAGCCCTTTCACACTAATAGTATTATTTGAAATATCCACAATTAAAAATTGGAAATGAAAAAACACAAGTAGAAATTATATAAATGTTTATTGCAGAACATCTTATTTAGCAGGCATTGTGTTAAAGTGCAACTTCATTTTAAATGTACAGTATTGTTCAAAACAAACGCAATGTGACTAAAAAAATTAAGCCAAAAAATCAAAATCATAGTTTTATTTACATTTTTCTTTCCGATTACAGAATGACAGTCCATGTTATATCATTAATCCCAGCATTAAGTTACATAAAATGGAAGAGAAGCTAAAATGTAAGCTGTACATAAAATTTTTTTTGTGTTTCTGCACGTGTCATTACAAACTGAAATTAGTACTGTATAACCACATTTCTCAATGTGAATTTGCTTTCTCGTGAATCTGCAGGTTTAAGGGAGCCAAATTTAAGACTTTTTAAGACCTTTTTAAGGACCCGCGAATACCCTGTATCAGCTAAAAACACTTTCAGAGAAACGCTTCACATTTGCGTAACATTGTCGGCCAACTTCTGGGTGCAATACAAGTAGGCTGTGCTTTTATAACATACGCATTTTGCGATCTCATAACATATCATCAGACATGTCAGAGTCACTGTCAGAGTTGTCTGAAAAGCTTTGGAGGATATTGCTCGTCTCTGCTTGACTGAAAACTTTTAAGTAGCAGCTCCTTGCATGTGCCACAGCTTTTCTGGTGTTCTGCCTTTTCCTAAGAAGTAGGCTTTGAAGACCTTTTAACACCTCAACTGGTAGGCCCCACAGTGAAGTAGCAGTACCTGGCAAAAAAAAAGCATATTAGTAACCCTGTCATCAGTAATACCCATTTTCAGATTGGACTTAAGAACATACTTTTGAGAGCAGCATTTGAAACTTCCTCAGAAAGCTCCTTCAGGGAATCCATTTGATGCAGAAGGTACTTCCAGTGTTGGTTCATCTCTGCCATGAGAATCTTCTTCTCCTCTTGCAGTCTTTTCACTGCCATGACAAGGTCAAAGGCTCTTCTTTTTGTCCTGAGATCTACAGAGCCTGCATTCAGTTAAAAGATACAAATCAAAATTAGGAACAAAAACAACTGAACTGAAATGGGTTTGTGCAATCAAGCCATTAGGGTTCAAACAATCTGTACAAGCCATGGCTAACTTTACAACATGCTCCTTGAAAATAGATTACCAACAGTTTTGTAAAGGAAGGTTTAAGGCATATCACCCAGTACTATTATTTGAAATCACTGGAAAAATATAGTTAAACAATATGGCACTCCTTAGCCTAACTGACTAGCAAACCTTTACGACCTGAAATCCTCTTTAAATCTAATTTAAAACCTCAGAAAAAATGTATATATAGGATTTTGAATAAAGAAATGTTGGACCTCAGAAAAGTATTATACATATGTACTCAGTACTTGTCTGGGGCACCACTTGCATGACTTACTGACTCAAAGCAGCGTGGCATGAATGCTATCAGCCTGTATTATTGCTGAGGTGTTATGGAGGACCAAGACGCATTTATAACAGCCTTCAGTTGTTCTGAATCATTGACTCTCATTTTTCTCTTAGGGCTAACCCATAGATTCTCTAAGGTCAAGTTAAAGTCCCATTAGTTGTCACACACACTGATGTGTGTGCGAAATTTGTTCTCTGCATTTGACACATCCCCTGGGAGAGCGGTAAGCTGCAGACACAGCCACGCTCAGGAACTATTTGGTGGTTTAACCCCCCAATCAAACCCCTTAATGCTGAGTGTGAAGCTGGGAGGCGTTGGGGTTCAGGTCACGCTACTTTGCTGGACAATGAAGTCAGCATCTCCATAAAGGTCTGCAAAAGGAAGAATGAAGTGCTCCAAAATTTTCTGGTGGAAGACTGCATTGACTTTGGACTTAAATCACAATGGACAAACACCAGCAGATGACATGGTTCCCAAAATCCCTCAGCACTTCAAGCATCTGCAATTCTTCCAGACTCAGGGAACTTGTCTTCCAAATGAGATGCTAAATTGTCTCATCAGAAAGTAGGATTTTGGAACACTGTTGACATTGTTGTTCAGGAGCAACTTAACAAAAGGAATAGAACATTTGAGGCACATGTCCAGCATTTGTCTGTGTGTGGTGGCTCTTGATGCACTAACTCTAGCCTCAGTCCAGTTCTTGTGAAGGTCCTCATCAACTTTCCAATGGCCTTTCCAGACAACTCTCTCCAGGGTTTCAATGTATCTGCTTTGATTCATAACTGGCATAAAATCAAAATGAATTTGCAATGAACTTTGGAGGCTTTCACTACTTATGCAGGGATTCAATGATGATTTTCTTCAAAACTGCCTGATTGTGATTCCTACTGAAACAGACTGAGAGCCCATTTCATGGCTAAGGAATCTTTAGCAGGTGTTTTTGGATAATAAGCTGATTTGAGCAGTTTTCACAGCTGTTTTTGGAGATGCACAAGTACGTACCACTTTGAAACTCTTGCCATGGCAGTGCTGTATCTTCAGACAGTATGGTTTCTATGCACAGGCACTCATTGCTTGGAACCATTTTGTTATACTCGTCGACCACTGACGTCAGGATTCTTTTCTCCTCTCTGATTTTGTGGCGACCCCTGGCTCGGCCTTTACTGCCATCTGTGTCTTTGTACAGACGTTGTGAACGCCTTTTGATGCTTGCCACAAGCCCCTCAATCTTACTTCCAAGATTAACTGCAGCTTCATCAGTCTTGTTGGATGTCTCTGTAGAAAAAGCATGGAAGTTGGTAACTGCACACTGACATACCTATGTATGTAAAAAATATATAGTACACCATGCATTATAATTATTAGGTAATTATAATATTATCATATCTACCTTCTGCCCACTCCTTCACATCAGTTACCCACTCCTCCAACTGCTTGTCAGTTACACCCCACTCGGATTTTTGGGACTCCAGTGTTTCAAGCTGACTCTCGAGAGTACTTGTGGTCTACAAGTAAAAACTGATATTGAATTTAACATACATAAACTATTCATAGAGGACAAATTGATGCCATTATTACTTTCAAATATCTGTGAGACAGGAAGACAGCCAAATTGGAGGTCTTTTGCTGATTCCAGCGCATGGCCATTAATGTCAGCATGTCTGAACGTCCTGCAACAGAAGGGAGGCTGCAATCATTTTCAATACAATGCAGTATACAATACACAGTTTTGTGTAGACCAAATAAACCCGACAGATTAGAATTTGCCTTACAAATTATTTTGAAAAAGACAGCCCAGTTTTGAAATTGCCTTCTATGTATTTGTATGCACCAGTCTTTAAGAATGTTGGAGAGAAGTATGAAGAAGGTTTGGAAAAGCCCTGGATCTAAAGCACAACATACATGTGAAACATGATGGAGGCAGTGATTACATGGGCATGCGTTGCCTCCAGTGGTACTGGAAGCCCTGTTGCAACCCGAACAGGCCTAGGAAACCCTGATGGGATGAACACAGCAAATAGATTGGGAGGGAAAAAACCAGAAGGTTCAAAACAATAATAAACCTTTTTGTAATAAAAAAGTTTATTACAAAAAGTGTCCCAACCAAGATTAAAAACTCTCTAGTTGGGAGAAGACTTACCTAAGGTAAACAATGAAAAATAGAATAAAATAAAAACTAAGCAACTCAAAAAATATTCATAACTACTCTGAATTAAATTAAACTATCTTACCCAGGGTCAGTAGTTCATAAGGGAGAGACTAAATAGAGTCTAAACCAAACATTTGCAACTCAAATCCTCAAAAAAGGCTTAAGACTGAGATAAGTAACAAAATGATTTAGGATCATTAACACTGAGTCAATCTCCAACTGCAGCAATATCCCAATCCAAGTTTATCTCAGGGCCTTATGTCTTAGTGTGCAGCAAACTCCTGCTATCTGGTTCAGGTAACTCTTCTTGTTTACCTCTCAAAATCTTCCTTAGAGCTCTCTTGCTACATTTCTAGCCCCTCTGCTTTATCTCTATGCCTGTTTCTCCTCATCTGGCTACAAAAAAACCTGTCCTGAATAGGCTGCGGCTGAAGGGAGTTCAGGGAATGTCGCTCTTCATGGTGCTGAATGGAAGAACCCTAGCAGGTACGGTGTAGTGGAGTTGTCAGACTGGTGGTAAAACCAGGGGCCGTAGCAAGCAGTAGAGTATTTTGGTCATTTAACAAAATACACACATTAAGTGAACATGTAAATGTAAATGTAGGTTCGGGAGCAGGACCACGACTCAACTACATCTCATAAACACCTCTACTTCAAGGTTTACCACATCTCAGCCACATTTGCTATCTTCACAAACATCTCCAGCTGTTTGTCTGTGTTCTCTCAACCACCCTCCCTTCAGGATTATGTTTTTGTCTTCCAGTCTCCAGCTGCTCTCAAGTAGACTGTAGTAGGGGGGTCTCCAGTCAGCCGGCTATGCTATTCAGATACGGAACCCCCATCCTGAGTCTGCTCATAGCCATCACCTTCCACACCTTCATCCGACCATCACTGTGTGTTTTTATAAAGAACATTTCAGGCCCTTCATCCGTGGTCCTTGCTAGTGAAATACTATACATTTATACTAGATCTACAGTATCTCACAAAAGTGAGTACACCCCTTACATTTTGGTTAGACAAGGCACACTGGACAGCAAATTTACACAAGTTGTACACCGACTAATTGCATATTGTCATATGTTCTGATATTTCCCATAAACAGTTAAAATGACATATTTACAAAAACGTGAGAGGTGTACTCACTTTTGTGAGATACTGTAAGAATATTAAAAGAGAGATGCACCAACCAGCCTTTTCAGTCCTGATATCGATATTTGGCCTTTTTGGATCAGTTGATACCTGATATCCACCAATACTAATGCAAACATTAAAACATTGTTATATAACACATAATAAACCTCTAACATGATATAACTTGGGACAGAAAATAACTCATAATGTGGAAATAATTTGTCAGTGGCAGTGTAAAAAGTTATGTAGTTCGCCACATTATTGCTCTGCTCATTATTTGGATAAAGTGAAGTAAATAATATAATCCGGTATCAGCCATGTTCACCTCTCCACAAATCCAGCTACAAAGCCTGGATCGGCAACAACATCCAATACAGTACTGGTATCGGTGCATCCCTAATTAGAAATACCGTGTTTTCATACCTGCTTTTGACATATGCTTCGTGGTGACTGCAATGCGAGACAGGAAGGCATTGACCTGCTCCACTTCTTCACCCAGAGTTAACCCCGCCCCTTCCTGATATGCTCCACTCCATTTCACCTGTTTCAAAAAGAAACTATGTAGAAACTTTTCACCTCTTGACAATGATTTTTACAAACACACAGTATAATCATTTCACTCACTTCACATTGGAAGTTATGGGCTTTGGCATGAAACACAGAGAGGAATGGCTTCATATCAAGAAGAGGCTGTAGCTCTGGGCAGCTTTTGGCCAGCCTCTGGAGGTAAGGCCAATATTTGCAGGTCACATCCATGCAAAAAAACCTGCTGTTGGGCAGCTTTTGTTGCAAGTACAGGGGATACGCAAAAATTTCTCCCCTGTACATATTAAGGGCCCGCAGGAGCACTCCATGCCGGCACACTGCAAGCTCAAGGCCCTCCTCATCAAGCTTGCTGGTAGACCTTAAGGAGGTTTCTCTGGCCGCTTGCCACTGACCACCACATTTACCTTTCCCAGACACCTAAATTTAACAGGATGAAAATATTAGAGCCTACCTCTACGTTACGATATTTTACATTTATACAGTAATTACAGTCCCATCTTACATGTTTTGCCTTGCTTTGAATGTGGTCCACAAATTGTGTAACGTCCTCATCGTCAGCAATAAAGACACCCTCAAAGATGGCCTTTTCCTCACATCTGTAAAAAGCAGAAATGTAAATCTATAATTAACTAAGACCTGTGATTTGTAATGTGTTTGATCTTTATGCTGACATTTTATTGTACCTGGCAGAATTATTAAAACGATAATGTTTGCGGTTTCCATCAACAGAGACCGCAAGCATCTCTGGGCTGCAGGCAGGACAGGCAAAGGGCTCGGATTTGCAGTGGCTGTCAACTTCATATCTCACAGCCTCCCACTCAAAAAAACTTCTCATGAAGCTGTCTGCTGAGATCTTTCCAGTCTATTAAAAACATTTAAGAAAACATAAAAGAACTCTATTTCATACACTGTTGAGATAATTAAAAAAATATATACTCACACGACCAAAGCGAACGGTTCTTAGATCCAGCATTCTTATAAATGCCTGACAAGACAATCCGGGCGCTACCATTTTCATTTCTTCAAATGTGAAGAAAATATCACATGCAAAGATTGTTTCATAGTGCATGGTAGCTGGCCAGAAGTCATTTTTTATCAGGTCTTCAATCAAAGCAGTCCATGTGGCATTGCACATCCCACAGGTCAGCTTTGGGATATTGAGGTCATGACGTCCTTTAAGAAAACATAAATGCAACATGAATTTCACATATTTTCTATTGTCAGATCACAAACACAATAGAAAAATATTTTGATGCACAACAATATACTTGTACCGTTCATAGTGATCACAGCCACAACCTTTCCGGCACTGAGCTTCAAGTACTCAGCTGGACAGCTGCAGATTTTGGAAGGGACTTCTAGAGGTACAACTCGTTCTAGAAAAAATAAGTTCATGTTATATATGTATATACTAACAAACTGTGTGCACAATAACAGCATGTATGCTCAAAAAGAACTCACCACAATGACAAAGAGCTTCATTTATAATAACTTTGGTTGGGGGCAATGGCTCAAAGAATCCTCCTATAGTGGCCTCTCTATTGTGGAATGGATGTTGGCTGTGTGCATTTAAATCACATTCTCCACAGAGGAACGGCCGTGGACGACAATCCCGACACCGGATAGCAGCTGCATTGCTTTGACACTCCTGGCATAAGTTGGGTTCCACCTTCTCCTTTGATATCAGGGTATTGACTAAATAAGGCCTCACAGATCTCCAGTTTTCCAGCTCTTTCATTTTACTTAAGCCCCAGTTTGCTGATGTCACAGTGGGAACCACTGGGGATACTTCTTCAGTCTCAACATCAGCAAATGAATGCTGGAGGTCCCGCATGAACTCGTCTGATGAAATTAGAGAACAAATGATGTTCACTGTTCAGATAATGTTTAAAATTGATCTGATTTTATACATATACTAATACACAAATCAAACATATGAAATAACACTAGTGGATAAAGAAAGAAAAACATACCACATGTCTCAGGAGCAAAGACAACATCAGGAGCTGAGACAGGAGCTGAGACGGGAGCTGAGACCGTGTCAATCAAGAGACTGTGACCAGCTGTTATCAAAATAAAAATACTAATGATACTCATATAATGAAACAAAAATTTTCTGAACATTACCAGCACATTATAGTGATCAATAAAATTATATAGAAGGTTGACAAAAATTTTTGTTTGCAAAGCATTGTTATAAGCCTTTGGATAGGGTTAGGTTGAGTTTAGTTATATTTAACCCTCCCACTGTCTTCATGGGTGACCCCGCCAGGAAAGTTGACCATTGAGTATTGATGGTTTATCATCGGCACGTCGTATTTATCAGCACTACCTCACCCCTGCCACGTGGACCTCAAGGGATAAACCATCAATCCTGCTCAATGGTCAACTTTCCTGGCGGGGTCACCCATGAAGACAGTGGGAGGCTTAAGGAAAGAACAATGCTCACCCTGAGTGCACTGGTTCCTTAGTGCCCGTGGTCTCCTGTGGATGAGGTTTCCACCACTGTTTCTCTTCTTCCACCTCACTGTTGGCATCGGTGCTGCAATTGGTATTGCAGTTTTCTCATTTTGCAGCTGACTGAGGAAGTCATCGGCGTCTTTTAGGTCCTCAGTGACCTCACCCTCAACGCTCTGCAGTAAATCCTGCAGCTCACTCTCACTCATTGTTAATGAGGAATACCTCTCTCTCTCTCTCTCTCTCTCTCTCTCTCTCTCTCTCTCTCTCTCTCTCTCTCTCTCTCTCTCTCTCTCTCTCTCTCACACACACACACACACACACACACACGAATGCACACAGGCTATATTTCCCACACAGACAGAACAACAATTACAGTAAACAAACTAAACAGTCAGACACAGAAGACGAAACCAAAGGAAAACAAGTGTGACAAACAGAAGACAAATTACGAAAAACAGACGTGGCTCTAAAAAGTGCCTTTGTGTTGATGAAAAGTTGGGGTTCAGATAGATCAAAATGACAGCAGCTGTTGAAAGAGAAAACAAATGTCGGTTGCACATCAAAGTCTGACACGGTAAAATTTTGCATAGCTTAGTTTACATGTTATCTGGATTTTCTTTAAATACCTTTTTCTTAAAATGTGATTGAAAATTATACACGCGTATTTATAAAGTGTACATATAATGATAAGAACGGCATTTCAAAGTGTTTTTGTGTAATCAATCATAACGGATTAGAAAATGTTCTACTTACCGAAAGGAGAGTAAACGGAAAGACCGGAAGACCAGTTTACGCGGGACCTGTCGCATTCTATCACGTGATATAAGCACGTTTGTAAATAATTGTGTATTTAGATTGAAAATGTATTTAGATGAAAAATAATTATATTATATGTAGCGCTATATTACAACAGTCAATAAATAAATTGTTTTGGTTAAAAAAGGAGCCTAAGTCACGCCCATCTACTTCCGGACCATGGGTGCCTGGAAAAACGAAAACAAAAATTGTGAACTACTATTGCAATCACTTTAAAATGTATTACTGTACTGTAACAAATATTTGAGATTTAAAATTTAACAACCGAGTGGGTTACAGAGCTGTCAGAAACAATAAAACTCGTTTCTTGACGTAAAACCAGCTTATTACTACTAAGTGCTTCTTCTCTGCCCGCAGCCGAGCATTGTGGGAAATGCAGTTTGTTATGCTTGCCATACCGCAACAAATAAGTTTATAAACATGGCTTATACTGACAAATAAATGAAAATTGTTGTCTCGAGCAGTTAAATAAACATGCCGGTGTTTTATAACTGTATTGTAAATAAATCGATTCTCATAGATGACGTAGATGACTCGTAGTTACGTTCAGAAGTCCACACAATTTACTTGTATATAAATGTAAGCATAAGCTGCAGCAAAGTCCGTGTTTAAATGTGGCTCCACAGATGTCAGAAAAATACTCAAAGTTATCCAAATGATGGGGAAATATGCGTGTTCAGTGCAGCGCAAGAGAACATCCAAACTCGTCACTATGTCGCTGCACTGGGATTTGCATTAGAATCAACGGAGACTCCTTTTTGTCACATATATACGAAAAAGGGCACTTTCTGCGTTGGTATCTGACGCAGAAAGTGAGTGACCAAGCGTTTGTTTCCGACGCTTAGGGTGTGAGAACGTGTTGTGTCAAGACATCATCCCTAAATAAAAAAAAATGCATCTTATTTATATTCCAGAAAAACAAGACATGGATTATTTGTTTATTTTCAGCATTAAATTATACTTTTATATTATAAATTATTTTTGTATATTTTCCTTTTCTTTTTTTTACTTCATTAATTTACTCCTCCTTGAACCGTCACCTTATCGTGGTGGAGGAGTTTGAGTGCCCTAATGATCCTAGGAGCTATGTTGTCTGGGGCACTTAGTGCCCCTGGTAGGGTCTCCCATGACAAATTGGTCTTAGGTGAAGGGTGAGACAAAGAACGGTTCGAAGGATCTTTCATGGCGGTTAAAACGAAGAGTCGGAGTACCCGGCCCGGAGGGTTACCGGGGTCCCACCCTGGAGCCAGGCCTGGGGTTGGGGCCCGTGAGCGAGCGCCTGGTGGCCGGGCTTTCGCCCATGGGGCTCGGCCGGGCCCAGCCCGAACCGGATACATGGGCTCGTCCAACTGTGGACCCACCACCCGCAGGAGGAACATGAAGGGTCCGGTGCAATGCGAATCGGGTGGCAGACCAAGGCGGGAGCCTTGGCGGTCCAATCCCCGGACAAGAAAACTAGTTTTTGGGACATGGAACGTCACCTCGCTGGCGGGGAAGGAGCCGGAGCTTGTGGCAGAGGTTGAGCGGTACCGGCTAGATATAGTCGGACTCACCTCGACACATTGCATTGGCTCTGGAACCCGAGACCTGGAGAGGGGTTGGACACTCTACTTTGCTGGAGTTGCTCCGGGTGAGAGGCGGAGGGCTGGGGTTGGCTTTTTGTTAGCCCCGAGACTCTCTGTCTGTGTGTTGGGGTTTACCCCGGGGGACAAGAGGGTAGCTTCCTTGCGCCTTCGGGTCGGGGAACGGGTCCTGACTGTTGTTTGTGCTTATGGGCCAAATATCAGTTCAGAGTACCCACCCTTTTTGGAGTCCCTCGGACGAGTGCTAGATAGTGCTCCATCAGGGGACTCCATTGTCCTGCTGGGGGACTTCAATGCTCACGTGGGCAATGACAGCTTGACCTGGAGGGGTGTGATTGGGAGGAACGGCCCACCTAATCTGAACTCGAGCGGTGTTTTGTTATTGGACTTCTGTGCAAGCCGCAGTTTGGCCATAACGAACACCATGTTCGAACATAAGGATGCCCACTTGGTACCAGGGCAGCCTAGGTCACAGGTCGATGATAGATTTTGTAGTCGTATCATCTGACCTGCGGCCGTATGTTTTGGACACCCGAGTGAAGAGAGGGGCGGAGCTGTCAACTGATCACCACCTGGTGGTGAGTTGGATCAGATGGCAAGAGAACATGCCGCGTAGACCTGGCAGACCCAAACGCATAGTGAGGGTCTGCTGGGAACGCCTGGCAGAAGAACCTGTCAAGACGGTCTTCAACTCCCACCTCCGGCAGAGCTTTGACCACGTCCCGAGAGCAGTGAGGGACATTGAGTCCGAGTGGGCCTTGTTCCACTCTGCGATTGTCGAGGCGGCTGTTGCTAGCTGTGGTCGTAAGGTGGCCGGTGCCAGTCGTGGTGGCAACCCCCGTACCCGCTGGTGGACACCAGAGGTTCGGGGAGCCGTCAGGCTGAAGAAGGAGGCCTACAGGGCGTGGCTGGTCTGTGGGTCTCCGGAGGCAGCAGACAGGTACCGGATAGCCAAGCGGGGTGCAGCAGTGGCAGTTGCCGAGGCAAAATCTCGGGCGTGGGAGGAGTTTGGTGAGGCCATGGAGAAAGACTATCGATCGGCTCCAAAGAGGTTCTGGCAAACTGTCCGGCGCCTCAGGAGAGGAAGGCAGCAACTCGCTCACACTGTTTACAGTGGGGATGGGGAGCTGCTGACGTCAACTGAGGCTATAGTAGGATGGTGGAAGGAATACTTTGAGGAGCTCCTCAATCCCACCAATGCGCATTCCGAGGAGGAACCAGAGCTGGGAGGCCTGGGGATGGACTGTCCGATCTCGGGGGCAGAAGTTGCTGAGGTAGTCAAACAACTACACAGCGGCGGAGCCCCGGGGGCGGATGAGGTTCGTCCTGGGTATCTCAAGGCTATGGATGTTGTAGGGCTGTCATGGTTGACACGTCTCTACAACATTGCGTGGTCATCGGGGGCAGTTCCTAGGGAGTGGCAGACCGGGGTGGTGGTCCCCATCTTTAAGAAGGGTGACCTGAGGGTGTGTTCCAACTATAGGGGGATCACACTCCTCAGCCTCCCTGGAAAGGTCTACGCCAAGGTACTGGAGAGGAGGGTCCGATCGATAGTTGAATCTCAGATAGAGGAGGAGCAATGTGGTTTTCGTCCTGGCCGTGGAACTGTGGACCAGCTCTATACCCTTGCATGGGTGATGGAGGGGGCATGGGAGTTTGCCCAACCAATCCACATGTGCTTTGTGGATTTGGAGAAGGCTTATGACCGTGTCCCCAGGGGCACCCTGTGGGGGACGCTCCAGGAGTATGGGGTGGGTGGATTTCTGTTAAGGGCCATTCAGTCCCTTTACCAGAGGAGCGTGAGTTTGGTCCGCATAGCCGGTAGTAAGTCGGACCTGTTCCCAGTGAGGGTTGGACTCCGCCAGGGCTGCCCTTTGTCACCGGTTCTGTTCATCACTTTTATGGACAGAATTTCTAGACGCAGCCGTGGTGTGGAGTGTGTCGAGTTTGGTGGCAGGAGAATCTCGTCTCTGCTTTTTGCGGATGATGTGGTCCTCCTAGCTTCATCCAGCTCTGACCTTCAGCTCTTGCTGGGTAGGTTCGCGGCCGAATGTGAAGCGGCTGGGATGAGGATCAGCACCTCCAAATCTGAGACCATGGTTCTCGACCGGAAAAGGGTGGCTTGCCACCTCCGGGTCGGGGGAGAGGTCCTACCTCAAGTGGAGGAGTTTAAGTATCTCGGGGTCTTGTTCACGAGTGAGGGTAGGAGGGATCGGGAGATCGACAGGCGGATTGGTTCGGCGTCTGCAGTGATGCGGACGCTGAGCCGATCTGTCGTGGGGAAGGGGGAGCTGAGCCAGAAAGCCAGGCTCTCGATTTACCGGTCGATCTACGTCCCAATCCTCACCTATGGTCATGAGCTTTGGGTAATGACCGAAAGAACGAGATCGCGGATACAAGCGGCCGAAATGAGTTTCCTCCGTAGGGTGGCCGGGCTCAGCCTTAGAGATAGGGTGAGGAGCTCGGACATTCGGGAGGGACTCGGAGTAGAACCGCTGCTCCCCCGGATCGAAAGGAGCCAGTTGAGGTGGTTTGGGCATCTGGTCAGGATGCCTCCTGGACGCCTCCCCGGGGAGGTGTTTCGGGCATGGCCTGCCGGCAGAAGGCCCCCGGGTCAACCCAGGACACGTTGGAGAGGTTACATCTCCAATCTGGTCCGGGAACGCCTTGGGGTCCTGCCGGAGGAGCTGGTGGACAAGGCCGGGGAGAGGACGGCCTGGAGCTCCCTAATTGGGATGCTGCCCCCGCGACCCGGACCCGGATAAGCGGAGGAAGACGAAGACGAAGACTTCATTAATTTATATTTGAGACACACTTATTTCTTTATTGATCCCAATAAAAATGGGCAATGTGAAAATAAAATAAAAAAGAAATTGGTAAACTAACAAATGTGTGTGTTTTTTTTTTTAGGTTTATTCTATGCACAAGTGAAATGCTGATCCAGGTAAAGTATGGTGACCGGCACAAGTATGTGAAATTGGATGAGGCTGAGGGGCAGTTCGACTTTCATCAGTTCCATGAGAAAGGTTTGTTATTTGTTTAAACTCTGTTGAAGGAAACAATAGACATTTAAGTGTGTTTGAAGTGCAGTTAGTTTTATTAATCCATGATGAGTAAAAGAGGAAAACAATGTATTATAATTTTTGTAATGAGTACACCATTCTAATCGTATAATCAACATAAAATAAAAATTCTATACTCAAATAAAGCAAATTTTAACATCTGGCTAATTAGACAACTTATTTTTCAACTTCCCATTTAAACAAAAAATTTCCTTTCTACTTTTCCAGTCTTGGAAAGATTTTGCCTGCCACCTGATGCAAGCATTACATACAAGGATGCAACAGGAACTGAAGTTGATGGAGAAATATTCAGTGACCTCATTATACAAGGCAATGTGCTGCTGATAGTCTTGTGCAATGAAGGTGAGCTTTAAAAGCAAATATATAATTCTACAGCTCTTCAAATACAGTAACATTACTGATGTTGTCTTTTAGAGCTCTCGGATTGGTCTTCTGCTTCAGAATTGTCTGAATCAAGTTTCAGCTCCAATGCATCAACATCAACAATATTGATGGATGAGATCCCACGCAAGAAGCAAAAAACTGAGAGTGCTAATGTTGCAGTGTCAGCTAAAAAGGTTTACCCAGATTTCTGTGTGCCTCTAAACTCTTTGCCATGTTTAGGTAATCTGCATAGCACTGTGTAATGGCTCTTTTATCTGTTTATCATTTGATAGCTGGTTGAAGGTGTCCTACGAAGCAAGTCTGGCGGTGAAGAAGTACTGCAGGAGTATGAAACAACTGAAACCTTAACTGATGCCACAAGAAGACAAATGGTGAACATATTAGTGGCTCACATGATTGATAAACATGGGTAGGTGTGTTTTTAGACATATTATTGTGAGAATGGACCATTTGTTCACTAACTTAATATCTTCTGTCAGGCATCTCCCTACTAAAGCAATCCGAGAGGAGTATGCCCTGGGGATAGTGACACTCTTCCCATCCCTCAAGGATCCATATACCAAGAAAGGCTATGTAATGTTCTTTATCAATTGCAAACTTGCTTTCTGAAACCACACTTTGTCCAATGGCATTTAATTTTACGTAAAAAAAAAGTATGAATGTTTTATTAATTTCCTTTTTCAGGAACACTTTTATGATGCAGCAAGCAGCACAGGATACATTTCGTGGCGCCTTAAAACGGTCAAAAGGAAGATTCGAAAAGGGTCACCTGTGCCACCAAGTAGCTCCAGTGAAATTTCATCTGGAGGCCCCAATGTCCAGAGAGCTGTTAATGTTGAAATCCAGCTTTTTGGGGATGCCTGCCAGGAGGCCATATCTCTGCTTAATCACACCACTGACAGGACCCTGGTTTTTCAGAAGATGAGAGAGACTTTTCAGCATCGTCAGAAGCTTATCAAAGATACCAACGGAGGAACAGATATTCTGAAAACCTTCCCACGGTTCCTGGATACAAAAGGACTGGTAGGTGTTCATAAGTTGTTAAAGTCTTCAAATGTAAATTTTTGCCAAATAATGATAATTTAATCTCTGCTTTTTGTCAAAGGTTGAACAAGACTTCAGTCTTCTGTTTAATGAAGACACCTCCTCCAGACTGTTGCAGAAGTGGGATGGGTTCTTCAAGCCAAATGTCATCAAGGAGGCAAAGCGGCTCACTTCAACACCTGAGTTAAGAAGTTTGGTCCAGTCAGCAGAACGATCTCCAGGAGATGATCAAGATGAGGCATCTGGTGAGTACCTAAGTAAATCTGAATTTAATTGACAGTTTAAACTTTCCAATACTGCTCAGTGTTTTCATAAAGTTAAGAGATGTTTCGCAAGTTAAGTTCATTTTGATTTTGTCCTCAGCATATGACCAAGAAATGGCCTCCTTGTTGCTGCTCATACATCTCCTTCCACCACCACCAGGAGGACAAAGGTCTCCCAAAATTAGTGCCTGTGATGCAGTGGAGAGACTTGTTGTCTTTCATAAGGTAACTGATAATATACAGTCATTTTTCACTTCACATTCATAAACTTGTACAAAACAATAGGTTGAAAGGATTTCTTAAAGAGATTAAATTATTTCACTAGCAAGTATGAATCTTTTGATTTTTTATGATGGCTATTGCTGTGTTTCTTATGTTCTTATGCTTTTAATCCTAGTCCTGCTGCAGTTTGGAGGAACATCTCCAGAGTCAGCTGGGTCGGCAGCCATACCTCCTTGCTGTTGGGCGTCAGAGGAGCAAGATTGAAAGCTTCTACATTGTCATGGATAAGAGCCTCATCCCATGCCAGGCAAACCGATCTCTTGGAGCATTTGATGAGTTATTCAAAACACACTTTGTGTTTAATGTCTCTTATGATGCTGCACTGGTGAGTTTTTATACATTCATCCAGACAACAGTGTATAACATTGATGTAGGCAAAATGAAGGAGTCACCCAGAGTAAGGGACTTGAGAGCGAGGCTGCTTAACCAGCCAGTTGTGCTCTTCTGTGAATAAGTCAGGCAAAAAAATATGTTGACCTGTTTTATGTGTCAGAAACTGATTCCAAGCAGTCAGCTGTTGATTTCCCATTTAAGAGTTGAGCATAGCTACTATCCTGGACCAAAGTTTAAATTATTTTGCTCTCAGCAAGGCTGCAGGCATCAGTTCCTGACATATGCAGGTTTTCGCAGGCATCTTAATAGTGTTCATAGTGATGTTCAGCAAGTTTCACAAAGTTCAGCTATTGCAGGTTCATCATCTAGTAATCCAGTTTTGTCAGGTCAGGCAGATGCTTTGGACACCCAGGTAATCCCCGTAGATAACTTTTGTTCTGATGACACTCCTAATGAGAGTACTTCTCCGATTTCTAAAGATCAAACTAAAGAGATGTGTGCATCCATAGTGGCCAAATTACAGGGCAGTGGGATCTCTGGTAGTTTAGTTTCCTCAATTGTGGGGGATTTAGAAGAACTAACTAGAGAGATTCATTTGAAAGCAACGCAAGCAGCTGTTTCTGTATTACCCGTGACTGATCCCAACATTTCTGTGATAAATGAATCATTCGAAAAATTTGAAAACCCATTCACAAATCTTAATACAGAATGGAAACGAAACAAATATTTCAACCAAAAATGGGGTGTTGTTGAGCCAATAGAAATAACATTAGGGATAAGATATGACAGCAGGCGAAATAAAAAAAACTGGTACTTATGATCAAATTCCAGTTAATGATACTTTTGTATATGTGCCAATATTAGAAACATTACAGTTCATGTGCAGAAACCCAGAAATATGTGCCTTACTTAAGAGAGAACATCAATCTGAGCAGGACACTTATGCAAACTTCTCTGATGGAAGCTATTTTAAAGCACATCCTTTGTTTTCAGCTAAAAAAGATGCGTTACAAATTTAGATTTTCTATGATGATTTTGAACCAGCCAATCCCCTGGGCTCTAAACACGGAATTCACAAAATTGGTTGTCTTTATTTTGTTCTAAGAAACCTCCCTCCTAAATTTAATTCAGTTTTGATGAACATTCATTTGATATCACTATTTCATACTCAAGATCTTCACAAATATGGTTTTGATGCTATTCTGGAACCTTTGATGAATGATATAAAAATTCTGGAAAGCCAAGGGCTTAGTCTTCCATTTTCTGATGAGCCAGTATACGGTACAATCTCTCAGGTCACTGGAGATAATTTAGGGATGCACACAATTCTTGGATTCAATGAGTCTTTCAGTAGTCGTTACTTTTGTCGGATGTGTTTATTAGAAAAAAGTGACTGTCAATCTGTCTACAGTGAGGATGATCCTAAGGTAATCCTTCGCTCAAAAGAGATATTTGAAATGCATTATAGATCTTTACAAGAAAGCCCACAGATAAAGTCAGCATATGGTTTAAAAAGACAATCCTCACTTAATTCTTTAAAGTATTTTCATGTATCAAATAACTATTCCTTTGACATAATGCATGATCTTCTTGAGGGTGTTGCTCAGTATGAATTAAAGTTACTTTTTGAATATCTAACTCAACATTTCATATCAGAGCAGGAGTTGCTTTCCAGGATTTATAGTTTTGATTATGGGTATTTAGAAAGAAAAAACCGTCCGACAAAAATTATTTTGGAGAGTGCTGGTAATAGTATAGGTTTGAATTCTATTCAGACGTTGTGCCTTTTAAAAAATATTCCACTTTTGTTTGGGGACATTATTCCTGTTGGAGACCAAAATTGGTACATGTTACTTTTGTTACTAGAAATAATGAACATTGTATTTTCTCCAATCCTGACTTTGGGTATGACGACATATTTGAAGTATTTGATTGTTGAGCACCACAGACTCTTTAAGTTATTGTATCCACAGAGGAACTTGATACCTAAACATCATTTTATGATCCACTACCCATCTGTTATTAGGAAAATTGGTCCATTGTTACATATGTGGTCTATGAGGTTTGAAGCCAAACACAAGTTGTTTAAAAATTATTTAAAACATTTTAAAAACATTACTAAATCACTTGCTAAAAAGCATCAAATGGCCATAGCGTATCATTGGGAAACAATAACCATTAAGCAAAACGAGCACGGGCCTGTCAAACCATTTACCCTTACAGATGAAGATTTGGCAAATAATGAAATGCATCAAATAGTGTCAGACAATGTTTGTTCAACTAACTGGGTTAGAGTAGATGGTATTGAATACAGAGCTGGACTTGTCATTTGTAGTGCAATGCATGAAGAAATGCCTGTGTTTTGTCAGATAAGTGATGTACTTTTAGTTGACAATAATGTGTTTTTGTTAACAAAACAGCTTTTCACAGAGACTTTTGATGCTCATTTTCATGCTTTCAGAGTTGTTCAGAGTGAGAATAGGCACCTTGTACAAGCCACAGAGCTGAAATTTTACAAGCCCTTTGATATTCAAAACTCATATGGAGTTGCAAATGAATATTTGTACATTTTGCCGCAATTTGCACTGTTTGATTTACAGTTTGCAAAATAAAAGAATGTTTAAAAAGTGATTTGCTTGTTATTATATTAAACAGAATCATAAAAATAACTTTTTTCCGAGTTGATAACAAACACTTGAAACTGTTAAACTAACACTTACAAAGTAAATAATGTTTGTTTTTAATGATTCAGAACAGAGTTAATTATGTCATCCCACAGTGTTAATTTAACTCTTAACTTTTAACTTTTGTGAGTTAAAAGAGAACTCTAGCACAGTGTTAAATTTTTAACTATTTTGAAAGTGTTAAATTAACTCTGTAGAGTGTGTATCTATATAAACCCTGAAAAAGTGTTAATTTAACTCTGTTTTGTGAGTTAAAAGAGAACTCTAGCACAGTGTTAAATTTTTAACTATTTTGAAAGTGTTAAATTAACTCTGTAGAGTGTGTATCTATATAAACCCTGAAAAAGTGTTAATTTAACTCTGTTTTGTGAGTTAAAAGAGAACTCTAGCACAGTGTTAAATTTTTAACTATTTGAAAGTGTTATTTTAACTCTGTTTTGTGAGTTAAAAAACAACTCTGACACAGTGTTACATATTTAACTATTTGAAAGTGTTAATTTAACTCTGTTTTGTGAGTTAAAAGAGAACTCTAGCACAGTGTTAAATTTTTAACTATTTTGAAAGTGTTAAATTAACTCTGTAGAGTGTGTATCTATATAAACCCTGAAAAAGTGTTAAAATCAACTCTGTGCGAGTTAAATCAACTCTAGACTTTTTGCTGTGTGTGTGACATGCTCAGTTTGAAGGTTAAAAGTCTGACAGGCATGGAAAGAGAGTGTGCACTTACTGTGGATGAGATGGCATTCACTCCAGGCGTGCATCACTCCATCACAGACCCAACTGGGTTTTGCCACCACCGTTGTTCCTGGTCAGCTCTCCGCTCAGCCACTATGAAAACATGAAGATGGACACACAACACAGTTTAACCTTTAATGGTTACATAAGATTTTTGTTTGATTAACTCTTTGACATTTATTTATTGATAATTGTGTTATTGTTAATTCTTTTTTCTTGCCATTCCTTAATAACAAAATTGCAAATGCTAATATTATAAAGCAAGTGGAAATGAACAGTTTTATGGAAAAGGTCTAATTTTTAAAAGTTATTGTTAAATTACTGTTCTTGAATTATCTTAATTCTATTCTTATTACTTGAGTCCACAAAACAGAACATATCTTCTTACGTTCGTAATCCTGTTTGTCTCATGCTTCAGTAGTTTGCTGCAGTTGGTGTTATTAACTGAAAAATATTCAATAATTACTTGTCTTCACAATCACATTTTCTTTATTATTGGTCTCTCCATTTGTGCTTCCATTTCTGATGCATGTTCATGTTGATACAGCAACCAGCAACGTATTGTAGAAAAAATACCAAATAAAACTAATAATGTAAAAAGTTTATAACCTATTTCAAATTGGGGGGAATATTTTTAAAACGTAGAATCAAACAACCTGAAATAAACCCGTCTACAGCTCGTCAAGCTTGTCTAAACCCTCCTGCTCACAACCCCCGACACGCCTGAAGCAAATAAACTTTCAGACAACTGTAACAAAATACCTGTTCTTACACAGCAAATTGGGAAGTGTATATTCAACACTTTAAGAGTAAATTTTACACCAAACTCGGTGATCATTTGGGTCCAAGTTTCCAGTGTTAAAACAACACTGGACACCGGAGTTAAACAAATAACACTAGAAGAGAGTATAATTTTAAACACTTTGAGAGTATAAATGTACTCAGTCAAAAGTCAAATAAAACCTCCCAAAGAGTTAATTTATACTCTCAAAGTGTTAAAGATTCCACACTATTCTAGTGTTATTTGTTTACCTCCGGTGTCCAGTGTTGTTTTAACACTGGAAACTTGGACCCAAATGATCACTGAGTTTGGTGTTTAATTTACTCTTAAAGTGTAGAAAGAACTTTAGGTTACTATCGTAACCCCTGTTCTCTGAGTAACATGAGTGAGATGTCTCACTATGGGATACGCCCCTCCGCGGATTCCTCAGAAGCACTTATCTCAATACGCCAATCCTGATTGGCCAGTGACCGTGACGTACGCGTCCCCCTGCTACTATAAGTAGCAAGCGTCCCCACGTACACACTATTCAAGATAAACACCTCTTCTCGCTTCGCCCAGCAAGAAGGGTTGTCTGGTGAGACATCTCACTCATGTTACTCAGAGAACCGGGGTTACGATAGTAACCTAAAGTTCTCTTTCTTAACATTCGTTTCGATGTCTCACTATGGGATATGGAGACTCCCGTATTGCCAGACAGCTTATCCAGCGATCACCAACCTACAGGGATACGTCTTGGCCCGCCAAAGACCCCACACTCAGAATCGTGTGAGTCATTGCAGGGACCAAAACATCAAGCTTATAGAAGCGTGCAAATGCAAGTGGAGAAGCCCAACTTGCTGCAGCACAAATCTCCTGGATTGACAGCCCCCGAAAAAAGGGCCCAAGAAGCAGACAGGCCCCTAGTAGAATGGGCCCTGAGCCCAACAGGAGCCTGAATGCCCTGACAGGAGTAAGCCATAGAAATAGCCTCCACAATCCAGTGGGAAAGCCTCTGCTTTGTGACGGGTTTCCCCTTACGAGGCCCACCCCATGACACAAAAAGCTGGTCCCCCCTGCG